GAGGCAAACAGAGCCCTGGCAGCTCTCCCTTTTGTGGGCTTTTCCACACACGCAGCCATAGATGCACAAAGATGTATCAAAAAAAACCCTAACCAAAAAAAGGATGCATTTTATTTTTCTGGCAAGTTAAAATCTGTTCTAGCAAGATGCAGAGGAGGATGATTTTCCACAGAATTTGAATTATAGCTTGCAGTTTTTAAATTATAGAATTATTTTCACTTAGAGGTCTTTAAAGATGACATGCAACGTCCCAAGTTAGGGGCCAGGATGAGGGACCGAAGAGCCAATACCTGCTATTGTTCACAGCTAATGTCGAAATCAAGGACAATTACATGGGTATGATTTCACAGCACCTACAAATAATAGAGCAAAGGAGAGGATAACCTCAGAGAGAGCTGAGCTCTGTGCAACTGGACTGGGATTTCTGCCCTAGCAAAGGGCTCCATCCTTCAAGGGAAGAAGAAAACCACACACTTCACTTGCCAAAAAAAAAAAAGGACTGACCTACTGCAATTGAAGTGGAGGAGGACAAATGGGATGACGGGGGGGAATTAGAAGAGAACCAGAGATGGAAAAATAACTTTTTATTCAAGTGACCAGGGAAAGGACCGACAGGGAGAAGGAGGGGGAGTGAGGGTCAGCGCTTGGGAGTTGGCAGCTTCCCAACAGCATGCTGGAAGGATCAGCTTACTCCTAACCTAAATCCAGTGCAGGATTATTAATGAGATGACAAGTGCAGAGTCCAGGGTGACAACAAACAAACCCGCCAAGTCTTTGGAACAGAGGCACATTTGGAGCCATGGGTCCTGCTCTGTCTTCTAAACCCTTCGTGCTTTCTCCAGGTGAGATGACAGAAAACAGTCTTGGAAAGTTTATCCAAGAAACTAAGGTGCCAAACAGCTTAGCGAGGACAATGGTTAAATTTCACTTTAAGCACAAATAAAGTGGGTGGATGAAGTTTCTCACCTCATGTGGAGGTGCAGCAGAGGGCAGGCAGGATGGGATCCCAACAGCCTAGCCATGCTCCTGCCCAGAGGAGGGAGAGGGGCTGGCCCCGGCGGCAGGCAGCAACTTGCTCCTTTGCAGGAACAGCCCTCCCACACTGGTGCTGCCCGCAGAGAGAGCGGCAGCCACCTGCCCAGGGCCATGCCAGTGCCCTCTGGAGCAGCAGCACCCCGGGAGAGGAAAGCTGGGATCACTTTGTGCCTTCCCACTAAGGTACCACTCTTCCTGGTTTTGCAATAGTGGGAGAGAAACATCATTTCTTACACAACCTAAGCCTGCAGACCACTGCTTGGCTGTAGGAAAACCCCTAGAAATCCATGACTGAAAAGACATCTGGAGTTAGCATCCTCAGATGACCAACCGTTACAAATTCCGAGGGCTCTGGCTATTTATAAATGCCCCGATAAGGCTAGAGTTCAATAATGCGCTAACGTTTATAACTACAGAGCCAAGTTGCCCTCTTGGGCATCTTCCTCCTGCCAGGGAATTAATCATAGAATCACAGAATTGTTTAGGTTGGAAAATACTTTTAAGATCATCAAGTCCAACAGTTAACCCAACACTGCTAATACCACCACGAAACCATGTCCCTAAGTACCACATCTACGTCTTTTAAATACAGAAATTCAGAGAACATATCTGCTATATGAGGATGGTCAAAACTGGCCCCCCAGATAATCAGTTGCAACGATATGCTGGAGGATACATTAATCCATGGAAGCTCCTGTTGGGTTAATAGCTGTGGTAATGCCAGGTTGCTGAAGCAAATGGAACTCGCCTTACCCAGGAGCTGTATCCCGGGGAGAAGAGCGGCAGGATGGAAGGTCAGTATAACCAAATGTAGAACCCTAACGCCACGGTGGTCTGTCATGAGGGCTCCTGCACGCCCAGGATCACAAACCGCAGCTTTTAACTCTTGCCCTCCTCTTCATTTGCTGTTAACGTTGCAAAGAACCCGCCGCAGCGCATGCCAACCTTACTGCTCTGCAACACCACCACCACCCTCGGCAGGTTTGCTTTCAGAAAAATAGTTACACGGCAGTAAATAAATTAAAAAAATCAATCTGCCACCTAGTGGCAACTGAATTTGTGTTATGGGAGATGATGTGAGTGTGGCTTGCTGTGTTAACGGCGGTTTTCCAAAGGAATTTTCACTTAGCAAACTCTCAGCTAAGCAGTGTTGGGAGGGTACGGATGCTGAGCACGCTTTGGGGTGTGTCCCAGGGTATTTACAGCATGTAGGGATTCACAAAGCTAAGTGACTCTTTGAGTGGTTTGCTTCGATGATGGAAAAGGTCCTAAAGATTCTCCTACCAGCCCAGACTAGCATTTCATGGAATATAAAATGAATTAGGAATTTTCTTCAGAATGCCCCCTAAGATATTCCCCTCAGCCTGCAAGTCCTCTTTGAATTTAAACACTAGGAGTCCTAATCAGTAGGAAAAAATGGCTATTTGTGGCTCATTGCTGTAGGAAAAAATATAAACCAAACAATTTTTCCTAAATCTTCCTTTAATAACAACTGAAGGGTACTCGCCCCCAGATGTTTCACATCCCCTGGGCTGCCACGCCAACCTTCTCCATGCCTGCAGCCTGAGGAGTAGCTGCAGCCTGGAAAAGGGGGACAGGACTCCTTCGGTGAGCTGTTGGGCTGAGAGTGAAATGGCCATCTGGCAGCAGAACTTTGCACAATGCAGCATCGGAAAGATAGAGAGACCTTTCCATCTTGGGAAGACTTGCACAATGCAGCATCGGAAAGAGAGACCTTTCCATCTTGGGAAGATGGTAAGAGAGACAACACTGTGTTTCTACCTCCAAAAACTGTATTGGCAGCACGGAGAAGGAATTGCTGGTGCTGGTCCTGGTTGCCACCATTGCCGAGGACACCAAAAACTTGAAAGAGCAGGTGAGAACTATCTAAAAATATTGAAGAGTTGGACACCGTGTCTTATTATGAGAAACTTCAAAATTTCAAGATTGAAAAGTGACTTGCTTACAACGTAGGAAAAGCTCATAGCTGCTACTGAGTTACTACAAAGTCAGGTTCTATCATCTGGCAGAATAAAACAATGAAGTGATGATGCCAAGCAATGTCACATTAGTAACAAGGCATGACATTTAATTACAAGGGAATTAGCCACTGGAACAAAATGCAAGGAAAGGTGTTGGAGTATGTCTCCTGAATACTTCAAACAAAGACTAGATGTCTTCCAGGAAGTTGGACTTTGGGCGGTTTATTTGTGGTATAAGGTAATGCAAGACGACATTAGGACAGATGATCTGATGATGCCTGACAGTCTTGAAATCTGGGAATGAAGTCATATCTCTCAAAGTCTTGCTGCTCAGGAGTGTAATTTTGTGTTAGGAGTCTAATTTAGGAACAAAGTGTGAAGAACATGTGTTAAAGGATGAGCAATAAGAGCAGTCATAGCCAGCCCTATGATTGCTGTGGGACTCGATATATCCTGCAGGTCTGAAGTCATGGGTAGATGGGAGGTGTTGAAATGCGCTTCTGTTCTGCACGCTTAGACAGCTTCTGTAGAGATAGTTACAAAGTGAGAAGACTGTATCCCACGGGGCTTTCAGTATTATTGCTCACTGGGTTGCTTCGTGTTCTCCATGGGTCTGTAGCATCCCAGTCCCCACCCCTGACGCCTGCTCTTGCAGGAGGCTCCCTTGCAGCCTCCTGGTTGAGGTATGGCTTATTTCTGAATGTCCTTGCCCAACATCAGCAGCATCAGGCTACCTCTGTGTTGGAGGCCTTTCAATACATAAAGGGGGCTTATAAGAAAGACAAAGAGGGACTTTTTACCAAGGCCTGTAACGATAGGACAAGGGCTTTTAAACTGCAAGAGGGTAGATTCAGATTGGACATAAGGAAGAAATTATTTGTGATGAGGGTGGTGAGGCACAGGAACAGGTTGCCCAGAGAAGTTGTGGATGTCCCCTCCCTGGGAGTGTTCAAGGTCAAGTTGGACAGGGGTCTGAGCAACCTGATCGAGAGAAAGATGTCCCTGCCCACAGCAAGGGGGTTGGACTAGATGATTTTTAGAGGTCCCTTCCAACCCAACCAATCCCATGGTTGTGTGGTTCTAATCTGACCCAGCTACTCACCAAGCCCATCAAGCTTAAAAATTGTTATTGGCTGTTTTTTCAGCTGTGGTGGGTTGACCCTGGCTGGAGATCAGGTGCCCACCAAAGCTGCTCTATCATTTCCCCTCCTCAGCTGGACAGGGGAGAGAAAATACGATGAAAGGCTCGCAGGTCAAGACAAGGACCTTGAATTTTTTGTTACGATTACTTGAAGAAATTACATCGACAACATGTCCTTCTTCCCACATGAGGAATGTTTTCCTATTAATTTGGAGCTATCGATTCTCTCCTGGGCTACATCAGAAAATGATCTAGACATCCTCTCCTCTGCTGGTAAGTGCTTTGCTGTGGTCCCACCACCTTGTAAGGAAAAGCTCTTTGTCCTTCAACCATGGTGACCTCTGCAAGTACCAAACCAAGGGGACAAATGGCACAGCTTGTTTTTTCAGGATAAGGCTCCTCCCCTTAACGTGCTTATTATTGAGATTTTCTTCCTAGAAATATCCTATGGCTCAAATGGAAGAGATGGGATAGAGAAGTGTCATTATTATAGAAATGTGACATCACAAATGGTGCCTTTCAGCCTTTAAAATCCACATAATCCTCTGCAACAGCCATACCTGTCCTGAATCACACCACCTCCAGCCGTGCCTTCGGTACCCAGCAGAAAATCACAGCCAAGTATGCCCAAAACCAGCTCTTCATTTTCCTCTTGGCACCCCACCTTTTGCCCACCAAAGCCCTTTGAAATGAGGGTCACACACATCTGCTGAGAGTGCTGTTACTTTGGAAGAGGCCCACAGGGCTGCCGGTGGATGGTAAGCGGGACAGACCTAGAGACATTGCAGAGGAGGGATGTGACAGAAGAGTGACTCTGCCCAGGTGCTGCTCCCTGCTGCAGCTCAGCGACTCAGGAGACAAGGGTAGCACTTGCTTGCCATTTCGATCCTCAGGACGCTATTGGGTCCCAGCGAGTAGGTCACCTCGTCCTCGTTCACTCCCGGCGGCAAGCTGATTTCCTTTGTGATGCTTTTGTAGTGGTACTCCTTCCCTCCTATGGTGGTGTGCTCCTCCCTGTGCTCGGCTAGCACCTTCACCTTCCCGTCCTTCACCGTTACACTGACTTTCTCTGGGTCAAAACCCTTCACATTCATCAAAGCCAAAAGCTTGTGATCATGGGAAGAGTTCAACATCCTGTTAACTCTTCTCTGCATGCTGGAATCAAAAACAAGAGGACAGCCTTTCAGTCCAACTTCTAGAGGAATGGGTTGACCACCCTGAGGACGCGAGAAGTAAATAGGGAAGTGCTGGATCCATCTTTGTGCTAATGCACAGCAGGTGGGGTGGTGTCTGCACCATCAGGAGGAGCTCCCACCTGCACTCCGCAGTAGACAGGAGTATTTCAGCATGCCCTCTTGGGATGGGACAAGAAAAGGTCTTTCACATAAATAATAAGAGAAGCCAGCGCTCCTCTTTCACATGTACATACATCCACTTTTCACATGTCCGTCTTACGTGCTGTCCTACATTTTAAATGGGTAGTTACAACCGATCACATTTTCCAGTTAGTAGTTCTGTTTAAAGCAATCAGTGGATAAGGGGTACATCTGGCAAAAAAACCCCAAACCAAAACAAACCAAAATGGTCCTGCAGGGCTGGACTGGAGGCTCACTGAGCCATTAAAATGATTTCTAATACTGTCAAACAGTGACTCTGCTCAACCAGAAGGCTGGCTCTTACTCAAACCATTAGTAAAATACACAATGGAAGGGTCACCTCAGTTTTAAGAGCTAAATTGGACACAAGGCACCAAATTAAAAAGATAATGTGTGTGATGGAAGAGGAATTAGGGCAAGCAGTGAGGGAACGGGCATGACCACGAAGGTGAGAAATCCCGTGGTTCGTTTGCAAGGTACACCCATTCCAGCAATCCTATTCAATCCTATTTAATATAGCCTGCAATGATTCAGTCTTGTGTGGTGATTTTGAGATGTATTTTTGTGAGAAGTGTGTTCTCCACCTGCCCCTTTGGTCTTTTTATATTGTTGGTTGGAGGCGTATAAATGTGCTGGCAAGAGCTGATCATTCAGGGCATTTTCTGTGGGAAGGGGATGGTTGAATTCCTCAGTGCAACGGGCTGAAACCCTGCTGTGATGTGGTTTCAGATGGCAGCGGTAAGGACTCGTGTGAAAACTAGAGGGTTGTTCTGAACAAGGCAGGGCTGGCAGCTTAGTGCTTGGGGGGAGAATGGCCCAGCGTCCCAGAGCCTGTCCTGAGACCTCCCAGCTTTCATCCAGGCTGAATTTCCATTCCTCCACTGGGATTTTGATGTGCAATGGTTCTGCAAGGGGATGCTTTGCGTGCCCAGCTCTGGTACCTAATGCACTGATGAAAATGTGGACACGGACACCAGCCACTGTAGCACCAGGCAGCCCGGATCCAAAATCTGCTGCTTGACAGCCCTGCATGAGCCACAGACACTGGGTAAGCTCAGCGTAACGTCACAGCAACTTTGTGTTTTGCTGAAGTGTAAAGTTAGCCCAGAGATCTGGCTTTTTCCTTTTCCCTCTAACTTCATGGCACCCACTAGATAATGCACGTGGCAGACCGTGGGCTGATAAGTGCTTCTCTATGGGAAATGAAAATGTCACATTTTTAATTGCTGAGATGGAGGACTCATTATCTCCAGGCACCACACGAGAGCTCAGACAGAAGTTTGAGTTCGGGGAGGAAATGTCAGTGACGCAGATGCAGCAAGAGACTCTCACCGCTGCTGATGGCCAAGGGACTTGTTAGCCCTTCTCTTCCCCCAGTGTCTGGTTGTGCCTTAACCCAAATTGTAGGAGTGTATCATTCAACAACGCTCTTACTGTAAGGCTCCATTTAG